CTCCTAATGAGCTCTGTGGGTCTAGGCCAGCCTTTTTCCATTCTGGGGCTTAGTTTTTTTCTGCTTAAAATAAAGGGGATACACAAGATGTGCTCTGGGGCTCCTCCGCACTCAATTTATGGTTTTACGAGTCTATTCTGAGAAAAATAAAAGTCCATTGAGACTTCAGAAATATTTTCAGAAGATTTGGGGAAGAATGACAGGATAAAAATGTAATCACGTCCCCAATAAAAAACATGAAAAGAAATCTTAGTATCTATCATGATCAAATTCCGAAGTGAAAATAATGATCAGCTAGCAGCCTTAACAGTGACGGCAACTTCTACAGACTTTATGTTCTATGCGCTGCATGTTATGCATTATCTCTCATTCTCACAATATCTCTACAGAGTAAGTCCTCGCATTTCCAGTAGGTTTGCTGACGAGGAAATTTAGTGTCCAAATAACTGCTGTAGTTACTGCTCTTCTAGTCATTCTTGGAAAAGGGAGAAATGGGATGCAGGTTTACTTGATCCCAAATGCCTTATTCTTCAGTGTAATCAACACCACTATAATCACCTCCTTGTGCAGTCTTAAAAGGACACAAGTTTGGGAGTTGGTACAAGTGTCTGGTTAATATGTATTTAGTAGTTGATTTTGAAGTTAACACACTCAAGAGTGGTCCTAAAATAAGTAATGAATTCTTTGGATAAGGATGGAAACCCACATTGCTAAATCCTATGAAAAAGTTAAAAAAAATAAAGCCACAACAAATAAAAAACAGTATTTGACATTTGTTGAAATCTTCAAATGTTAGATATTGTGCTAAAAGCTTTAATACAACAACCTTGTGGAATAGGCATTCTTTCTCTCTTTCCTTCTTTCTTTCTTTCTTTCCTATTTTTCAGACAAAGAAGCAGTCTTAGATAATTTAAGCACCAAGGTCTCAGAGCAAGGACTCAGGGACAGGTCTTGAATCCAAATCCCATGATCTCAACCACTGTGTTCTATTTCTATGCAGCAGCCAATAGGAAAGAATATGTGGTGAGAAAGCTCTGGCTAAGGCCTGGTAATATCAGGTTTAGCTCTTAATACTGGGCGAGCACATTCAGACTCAAGTACCCTCAGTGTATAAGGTGCATACTCATGAGGCTAGTAATTCATGAAGAGATTAAATGATTTGCCCTGGGTCAAGCATCCAGCTAAAATACCCAATTCTATTAGAATGCTAGCTAAAGATGCTTGCTGCTACTGTACAACTGGGCTTTTCTCCAAAACTAGAAGTCACTGACCTAGAAGCTAAGCCATAGCCACCTTTCAACAGCAATGGAGAGGAACTGTGGTCACAAGAGGAAACTAACTGGTAGAGCATTGAAGTTTTCATCACCGGGGGCCTAACGACCATCCACTTTTCTTGTTCTTTCTTTTTTTTTAACCTGAAGGGAAATGGGTACTATTACCCATTATTCAAATTGTAAAAAAAAAAAAAAAAAAGATATCAATATGCTGGTTGCATGCTGCTCCCTCCACCCCATCCCCAATCAAACCCCAAAGAAAGTCACAATTTGGGTATTATAGGATTGAAGAATAGATCACAGAAGAAATCGTGTGGTTCAGTTGGCCTAAAATATTTATTTTTCGGGTGAGAAAACTGTGAACTATCATGCAACTTGCTCATTCACCCCCAGCTCATTACTTAAGATTTATGTGGGTTCGTGGAAGACAGTCAACTTGTCTAGATCCTCAGGCGTTCCCTCTGTAAAGGAGGGATAAGAATAATAAACGCTACTGCATAGCTTTGAACCAAGAATTAAATGAAAGAATGATTAGAACTCATGAAGGACAGCACCTGGCACTGGCTTCAGTAAATGATGGTAAATTTCACTTCATATCAAATATCTCCTTCTAGGGTCCGTTGAAGTCTAACCGCCTTTGTGAAGCTTCCCATGACTACTTAAGCTCACAATGGATCACTCTCTTTGGTTATTGCTCCAGAAAACTTGTCACTTAATTATCAATCTGTAAGTAGTTTATTTATGTACAAGACTGGCTCTTAATTCCACGTTTTCTGCAGAATATACACTGAAATTTCTACAGTATTTCCCATATCCCCCACAGTGCCAACTTCAATTCCTAGGTCATACAAGGTATCCACAGCTAACTTTCAATTGAACTGTTAACGTTTAAAATTATTTAGTCAACTTAAAACACATCTATTTTAAAAAGTAAAATTGTTTGATAAGTGTTATAATTAAAATAACAATTCTCTGCCCCATCTACCTCCTCCCTTGATTTTAGTACCCCCCTGGACAAGGGTTTTCATCTATTTCAGTTATGGTTTTGTGGTACCATCCTCTATTTTTCTAAATAACATGCTTATGTTGCTAACTTTTGACTTTTCAACTTTAGAGATCACTACAATTTTTCTCCTGTGGAAAATAAGGATTTAGCTTTCTTATGTACTCTCTACCACATACCCAGAATAATTAATGCACAGCTTTTGGTTATATCAATATTCAGTGCTTATATCGTCATGAGTACATAAATATTAGCCAACCTAAGCCAGTTACTGTACTATAATCGCATTTATTCTCTTATAAATCTTTATTTCCTTATGTTTGCACCTGTTTGATTGGCTATATGCCTATCACAAGTTGATCATTAAACTTTCTGAGGAGTGATTCTGCTTTCACTGTGCTAAAACACATTAGGTATGCGGTTTCATGTTGTCCTTCCCAACTGAAGCCTTTGATCTGCGGGCTCCAGTCAAGACTTTTGCTCTCCAGGCCTGTTGCTGAGCTATTCTCCCGAGGTTTCCCTTTACCATCATGCAGGAAATACAATACTCTCTGCTTTATTTTGCATTATGTTCTCTTTGCTGGGATTTCATGACTTACTGATGTCTGGTTCTCTCCCTCATTTTGAGAGTGTATGCTGAGAAAAACGTAAGAGGAAATTTTTTTTAAAAAATTGGATCTTGCTTTTATGTTAAGTCCTAACTCTTTTCTCATACTTGATTACTAGCTAGGTACAGAAATTTTAGCTTGAAAATATTTTCCCTTAGAATTTTGAAGGCATTGCTCCACTGAAATTTTAGCTTCTGTTTCAGGGACTGAGAAGTCTTATACAATATCAGTTCCCCACTCATTATAGGATGACCGCTATTTACTTTCTAAAACCTTTCAGGATTTTCCCTTTGTTCCCTTTCTGAAATTCCATGATGATATCGCTTGGTGTGACTGCTTTTCCTTTTATTTTGCTTTGTGCACAGCAAGCATCTCTAGGCGGTATGTAGTTTGAAAATCTCAAGCATTCTTTGATAAATTCCTCCTTTGATTTCTTTGTCTATCTTTGTGCAACAAAATGATTTTGGGTATCTGGATCTAATTCTCTCTCTCTCGTTTTTTTTTTTTTGGTCTATTCCTCCATCATTTCACTCCTCTCTCTGAGCATTTTCCTTAATGTTATCAACTCTTGTTTTTTTCTTTTCTTTTCTTTTTTTTGTTTTTGCTGAGGAAGATTCACCCTCAGCTAATATCCATTCCAATCTTCCTTTATTTTTTAGTATGTGGGCCACCAGCACAGTATGGCTGCAAACAGAGCTGTGTAGGTCTACGCCCAGGAACAGAATCCATGCCACTGAAGTGGAGTGTGCTCAATTAACCAATGGGCCACCAGAACTGGCCTCTGAACTCTGTTTTGGAGCTTTGAATTTCCGCTATCATAATTTTCTTTCTAAGAGTTCTTTTATATCATCTTAATGTTTCCTTTATTATAGCATCCTATTCTTTCCTTCATTTTCTATCTTTTTGTCATCAAAAGTAACTACATTACAAATAGGAATTTGAGCAAATCTACTTTACAAGTTTGAGCAACTTTAACAGTTTTGCTCAAATTCAAACTGCACTACAGTTTTGAGAAAAACTCATGACTGCTCTGTTTAAACTAGATTTGCTCAAACGTGCATTTATGATGGAGGTATGAGGAAGTGTTCCTCCCCAGACGTGTTCCTCAGAAAACAGTAGGACTCTGGTGAGGTGGACTAGCCAACTCCCTCCCCTTCCTAGGCCCATTTTACTGCCTTGTCCTCCCAAAGAGGTGCTATCCAGATGTCATCCTCTCTCATCAGCTGATGCTTTGCTGTCACATACCATTGAAATAAATGCAGCATCAGGAAGATTTGCCAGTTAGTCTTTTCTCTACCAGGATTATTTATGGGCTGAATTGTGCCCCCTCACCACCACCACATACGCATAGTTCGTATGTTGAAGCCCTTTCCTTCAATGTGACTGGATTGGGAGATAGGGTCTTCGGAGGTAATCAAGGATAAATGAGATCATAAGGTAGGTCCTTAATCCAATGTGACCATTGTCCGTGTAAGAAGAGTAAGAAACATCAGAGAGCTGTCTCTCTCTCTTCATGTGAGCATGCAGAAGAGGTGATATGAGGACACAGGGAGGAGGTTGCGGGTAACTGCAGACCAGGAAGAGAGCTCTCACCAGATACCCACCCTGACAGCACCTTGATCTTAGACTTCTAACCTCCAGAGCTGTTAAAGAATAAACATCTGTTGTTTAAGGCACTCAGTCTGTGTTATTATGGCAACCCTAGCTGACTAATATAGTCATCTAATAATCAAATAAATCTTTTACCAACTTCTCTCTGACTATTCTATACTGGGTCCAATGGGGTGAACCCAGCCATTTATTTCTAGGGATTATCAGTATAGAAGGAAAGTAAGAACATCTATTCTCTACTCTTGGTGTAAAACTTTGTCTCCATGACTTTCCGGTGATCTTAGATAACAAATTCTAGAGTTACTTTAGATTCAAACAGAGTCTTGTTTTAGTAATTTAAAATGTCCATATTTGGTTATTAATAAAAAATTTACTAGATTTAAACTTAAAACTTCTCTCCTTCCCAAGCAGGGGCTGCTGCTGATGGCTAGAAGTCTGCTTCCTGTGAGGGAGTGGGGAAGGTAATTTTTTCTTGGTCAAATACCAAACCCTTGAAGCACTCACAAGCTGATGTTTCCAGTTCCACTAGGGGACAGAAGACATTGGGGCTGAAACGTACTGCTGGGCTCACTACACACATTCACTTGAAGAGTAAGTTAGCAATGGGTTGGAAATTCTTCAAGCTTGTTTCCGGTACTGTGTCTCCAATGCCTGTGGTATTGCACAGATTCCTGTAAAAACCAAAACAAAACAATGATCACATAGTGATGAAAACATGAAGAAATAGAACTTCAATTACTTCAATGTGACCAATTAGAATTCTTGTTTGATTAAACAATTTTTTACAGCTGCATTGAGATATGATCGACGTCTGTGATTTGATGGGTATTAAATGAAATCTTGATATTTTAATTTGCTTGTTTTCCTCATTACTGGTAGAGTTAATTCATTGCATTGAGCATTTGCTTTGTGTCCATCGCGGCTCTCACACCCTGGGATACCTCAGTGAACAAATTAGAGAAAAGTGACTCTTCCTATGGAGTTGATATCTGCTAGGGGCAGGGGACAAAGATAATAAAGAATATCAAGAATACATAAGTAAATTAGTAAGTATATAAGACCTCAATAGTACATCATCTACCTATTCACAAAATGTGAAACGTACTAATCAAAATTAGGGTAAAGAAATACTTAATCAGATATACCACTTGTTATCTTCTACCCAGAACAATTAAGAGAAAGTTTTCCCTCCTAATCAATTACTTCCATATCAGGTAAAACCACCCATATAGATGCAAAAGATATTATATCATAACTTTGAATGATCTTAAATTTTGGTATTATAACCTTAGATTAACCTTGGAGAGCAATTTTTTTTATAACGGTTGTATACTTGTTCTAGTTATCTATTCCTGCATAAGAAACCACTCCAAAACAGTAGCTTAAAACATTAACAATTATCTGTTTTGCTCACTAACTTGGAGGTTGACTGGGCTTGGCAGAGCAATTCTTACTCAGAGTTTCTCAAGCCAACGTAGTCAGATAATGACTGAGGCTGGAACAATCTTGGAGGCTCTTTCTCTCACATGCCTGGCTCCTGGGTTGGGGAGACTCAAACAGCTGGAGGCTGGAAGAGCTGGGGCTCCCTGAGCCTCTCTGTCTCTGTGATGTCTTTCCATATGGCAGTCTCAAGGTAGCAAGATATTTTACATGCTGGCTCAGGGCACCTGGAGTGAGTGGCCTGAGAGAAACCAGCATAAGCTGCATGTCCTTTTTTAAATTAGCTGTGGAAGTCATGCCATGTCATTTTTGCCACTTTATATTCATTGAGGCAGTCACAAAGCCCCATCCAGGTTCATGAAAAGGGAACGTAGCCTCTGTATTTTGATGGCAAAAGTGTCAAATAGTTTGCAAATATTTTTGTAAAACCACTAAATCAGCAGATCATAATCACGTGTCAAAATAAACCATATTTCTACTTAAATTGCTAATTTTGGAAATACCTTAAAATAAAGCTCAGAAGATCTACCAGATGTAGGTACAATAAAGGCAAATGATTGTGTTGAAAATCCTTTTCTGAGAATGCTCATAACAAAGAAAGCCTGTCCACCCTAAAATAATCACTTTTGAAGAGCAATTTGTTTTCCCTGCTGAATCATTTTACTGTCAGAGTTTCATCTCAACAGGATGAAAAAGAAAAAGAAAAGTTCAATATTATATAGACTGCTACAGTCTGCATGGATAGACTTCTACGGATAAGGGCCCTTGAAAAATGTATTGGGCACAAAACAATTTCAAGACAGACAAGAAATCCATCAAAAAAGGGATAAATATTTTACTAAAATCCTACCTCTCTACCAGCATATGGTATCTTGTGCTTGAAAGTTTCCACTGCACAAATCTCCCATGGCAGATACTGGGAACTGGGGATATTAGATCAAAATTTATTGAATGTCTTTGATTTTCAAGGCATTGTCGTAGATGCTAAGGATACAAAAAACTTTGGTACAGATTACCTGTCCTCAAAAAGTTTACAATTTTGTGGTGACAATATATACTTAAAAATAACCAATAATAATTAAATAATTACAATCGCAGCTACAACTTCTGGAATGTTATTGTATGCCAGGCAAGTTCTAAACACACTGCTTATGACATCTCTTTATTCCTGGGTAGACTTATCATGTGCACATTTTCTACTCATTTCTCAGCTAAGAAAAAGTGAGAGTGAGACACATTGTCACTAACTAAATCCATACAGAATGCTTTAGCCCTTGTGCTAAACCAAAGACCACATTCACTGCCAGTATGCATATTATGGGTACTACACAGTAATTGGTGAGGACCCTAAATATCATCTCAGTTCAGAGGCTGAAAGCATGACTTTCACCTTTGGGATCATTAGAAAGTACTTGGAGGAAAGAAAGAGTTTGAGCTGACCCTTGAAAGATGACTAGGTGGGATTCAGATATCAATGAAGGGGTAAAGGAAATGGCTTTAGCAACAGGATCAGTTTTTGAGTTTTTATGGCAAGACAGAGAAAAACATTAAGGAAGTGATTTTCTATATACTATATCTGGCTGAAAGATAAAATGGAGAAAACAAGTAATGAAAACAATTTATCTAGTATTGTATATGAAGAATGCTTGAGAAAAAAACATTATATATGTCATTCAAATAAGAGTTTGTAGATTCTTTATGGATTTTTTAATTTATTCATTGTGTATTGAATGAAACTTGATAGTTTATCTGAAACAAAAACTTGACACGCAGGAAGGGGAAACATCCAAGCTACAACCATCAGCGTAACTCTCAGAACTATAGCTGTGGATACAGGGAAAAGGAGTCTTGCTTTTCCTCCACTTGATCAGAAGATAAGGATGTTCCCTGTAGGGGCTTCAGGTAGTCACCTTGGGATCTCAGGAGAAAGTCTGACAGTAACTAAGACAGAAATGTGGAGAATAGCAGGATAGAGGAGAGGAGAGAGATGGAAAGAAAACAGATCCATATTAGTCTCAGAATACAAACATCTAAAGCCAGTCTTATCACTGAACTTTTCATTACATGAGTCCTTTTGCTTCAGCCAACTTGGGTTATTTTTTCTTGTTTATTTGCAACTAAAAGATTCCTAAGTAATATACCATCTTTAGATGTGGCACCAGATAATACCCAGATCAAACTCTAAACAAATCAAATTTACTAACAATATCCAGTCTTTCATTTTTCAGTTATTTATCAAAAGTTAACTTTACTTCTATGTTGTAAATATATCTAGCACCTAGCTGAAATATAGAGATGAAAAGTTTATTGGCCTTACTTCAAAGGGTTCATAGTCTAGTAGGAAGTTCTCTATGCAAGAGGTTATAATACATTGTGATAAATGTTCTAACAAAGAAAAGAAAAGTTAAGACAAATGTTACTTAGATCTGGAACATCTAGATTTGTTCTGCAAAATGAAGAAGGCTTCAGATGGGAAAAACTGCCTAAAGTTAGGCTTAAACCATGTCCACTATGTAATCCTTACTCTCTACTTTGCAATATTTGCATCTCAGAGCATTAATTTTTGAGGAGACTTATAGTTGTATTTTTCTTCCCTAGCCCTCTTCAGAACAAAGTGTTTGAACTAACTTCACTGAAACAGCATGCTTGGAAACCCTTGGTGGTAATAAAACACCAAAACTCCAGGTATCGAATTGAAGGTATTGATTTATCCACAGGAAGAACGATTGTTGCTGAACAATTTCACAAGACAAGAACTGGACCAGCTTCACTGGAGGTCGCCAGCATGTGCTCTGTGGTCTTGGAATGAGCTTCACATCTTTGACATTTTAATGGAACTTTCTTGAAAAACATATATTTCTTTGTATCTCTCAGACAAGGGAAAGAGCAATGTGTCTGTTTTTTGGTTAGATTATCTCTGAGCTAAAATGATAGTTTGAGAGAAAGGCCGGCCTATATAGGGTTATCCACAGACTGTGGCGTGGCCAGGAGCCATCCAAGTCCAGCCCACAAGGACTAACAGCCCCGCGCATCTGTCCTGTTGCCTTGGTTTCTTGAAAACTTAAAGCCTGGAAGTGCAACTAGAGCAACAAACACACCTTAGGTACCTGAAAACCCACAATCTCTTTGATGCTTTTATTTATTTTTTATTCTCATTTTATTTTTTCCAACATTTTATTATGAAAATTTTCAAAGATACAGCAAAATTGAATGCATTTTAAAGTGAACATCCTTTAGATTCTATCACTAACATTTTACCGTACTTGCTTTATCACTAGTCTTTCTAGCCACCTCTATCTCCATCTATTAATCCATCCTTCTTGATGCGTTTCAAAGTAAATTAAATAAATGTGCATGCTAAATACTCTACCATGTATATCATTAACTAGAGTTCATTTTTGTTAATAGTGTTTCTCCCCAGTGAGGTAACATTTACAAGTGGTGAACTGCATATATCTCATTTTTTGGTTAAGTTTTGACAAATGTATACACTATATAACCAAACTCCTATTAATATACTAAACTTTACCACCACCTCAGAGTGTTTCTTCATGATATCTCCCAGTCATTTCCCTCCACCACCACCCCAGGCAATCACAATGCTGATATTTTTTCAACCGTATGTAAGATTTAATATGTATTTTAGAAATTCATATAAATGGAATCATACAGTATAGAATCACTCATTTAAAGCTTTTTAAACTCAGCATAATGTTTTGAGATTCACTCATGTTGTTGCACATAGTTCTTTCCTTTTTATTCCTAAAATAATAATATTTTGACCCAAATATATCACAGTTTATTTATCTATTCCTGTTTACTGGACTGTTCCCATATTTTGACTACCTTGAGTAGAACTTTCATTAACATATAATTTAAGTACTTTTGTGGATATACATTCTCATTTCTCTTGGGTAGCATAGTTTTAGAAGTGCTGGGGAGATGTGGTTTAGTACCAATTTATATTCATACCAACACTGTAACAACATTTCTATTCCATATAGCTATTAACATTGGTTGTTATCAGTCTTTGATTTTGGCCATCCTAGTTAAGGATAGTTATCTCACTGTAGTTTTCATAGTTTTTTGTCTATTGTCTAATAATTTTGAGCAATTTGTCATGTCCTTATTGATTATTTTAAATCTTCTTTTGTGAGGCGTCTGTTAAAATATTTTGCTCATTTTTTATTGGGTTGGCTGTCTTTCTCTTATTGAAATGTAGGAGTTCTTTATAAATCCTAAATTCTTATCCTTTGCCAAATATAGGTTTTCTTTTTTTAAATATATTCTCACTGTGGCTTATCCATTCATTTTCTTAATGATGTACTTAACGAATGAAGGTTTCCATTTTTTTCTACTTTTCTTGTTTTTATTATTAATAGTTGCTTATATTGAGTTCAGTCTTGAAAACTGCCTTACTCCCTTTTGAGGCCTAGTCAGACATAAAGACAAGGAGTTAAAGCGGTAGGAGTAGAAATCTGCTCTGTACGATAGCGATAATCCACTTATTCACTTTTTTCTCTTTTTTTGTTACATTCATAAAGCAGGTCCTCTACAGGAATACAGTTGTGAATGAAACAAAAAGACCTATGCCATCCTAGAGTACGAGGAGGGGGCAAATAAGGCAGGGAAGGAGTTAATGCTGAGGAGGAATGCTGTTGCAGACAGGAGGAGCAGGAAATGTTCTCTGGTGAATTAATACTTAGATAAAGACTATAGTAATAACAAACATGGAGCAACACAGTTTGTAGAATTCACTATGAGCCATAGGCAGTATCACTTCATTCTTCACAATACTTCATAAAATTCTCACTTTCCTTACAAGTGTGCAATAGTGTCATCTTGTCAGTATAAGAAAATGAAGAAAAAGGAAGAAGGAGGAGGAGTAGGAGGAGAAAAACGTGAGGTTTAAGGTGAAATAAGTTGAATCTTTGTCTACCAGAGTCTGAGGCCTGAGATCTCACTATGCTTCATGGAGAGATTAATTTCTAGTAATAAAAATTATATAAATTATGTATATAATAAATATCATAATAACCATTATGTATATAATAAAGGTGTGTGTGTGTGCTGGTTAATTTGATGGGTCAATTTGGCTAGGCCACAATGCCCGGATACTTAGCCAAACATTACTCCAGATGTTTCTGTGAGGGTGTTTTTGGATGAGATTAATATTTAAAAGTGGTAGACTTTGAGTAAAGTGGACTATCCTCCATAATGTGAGTTTGCCTCTTCTAATTGGTCAAAGACCTTAATAGAACAAGAACTCACCTCCCTTGAACACAACGGAATTTTGCCAGCAGGTGGTCTCTGGACTTGAACTGCAACATCAGCTCTTCCCTGGGTCTCCAGCCTGTTGACCCAGTCTGCAGATTTTGGACTTGCCAGCCTCCACAATTGCATGAGCCAATTCCTTAAAATAAAGCTTTCTCTCTCTCTCTCTCTCTCTCTCTCTCTCTATATATATATATATATATATATATTATATATATAATATTATATATATATAAATTAATACAATATACATGTACGTGTGTGTGCGCGCAGAGGCTCTTATGTATATGAGAAAATCTGATCATTTGCATATTCAGATGCCTCTCTGAAAATGAGCAGAGTGAATTTGCCTAGGTGACCTGTTTAGGCTATTAACTATGACTTGAACTAAACAGAATTTAAAATACATGCTCAAACAGAAACTCGTGCTGTGGCTTATGGGTAAATATGGCTGACTGACCACATGCATCTAACTTCACTCCCTCCTGAAAGCCCATTAAACAGTAGTACAGGACTATCTTTGTTGTTGTTGTTAATAAAGCTACAAAGAGGGAAAAGATTGTAGAGAAACACAGTGACAATATTTTGGGAGCTGGAAATCACTAAAAACGAGAGGTTATTCACTTAGTAGTCCTGAGAAAACTGAATAGTGAATCAGATAGGTGGATGTGTGTGGGAGTGGATGTGAGGGGTGTGAACTGGAAAGCAAGGTGAATTATGTTGCAACATCTCCAACAGGCTCAGGAACTAGTGTAAAACGTATCCTTTGAAATAAAAGTAATGGGGCAGTTAAATGAGTTAAAATAAAGGCTGAATGCTTAGAAGTTGCTGGGCATCAGTTGTATCTTCAGATCCTTTCCCTTACTTTGCTTCCCTGGACTAGTGCCCTCCCTGATTCCAGGAGAACACTCAATGTCATTCCTTGTAAAAGGGTAAAAAAAAAGTCTCTAAGCAAGGGGAGGCCAAGGCATTTGAGGGCAAGGATACCATAGTGAAACCACAGCCATTAAGTGAAAGCATACCTACTGTGGGATAGAAGCCGGAACTCTAACTCCACTCAGCTTCTAGAATGCTCGTAGTCAGCCCTATCCTCTTGTCTGGAGAACAGGAATGAGTTCTCTGGGGACTCTGGCCACCCCAACCAAATGGATCAATTTGATTCCCATCAGAAAAGTACACAGAACACATACTCTGAGTTTACAAAGAAGTTTTAGTTTCCTGCACTGAAATGTGGATAGACGGCCAAAGATCATTAGGTATCTGAAGAAAGCCTCTAGTGTGAGAGACAGAGATCAGATACAATAATATAAAAAAGCAAATTAGAACAGTTTTTACAAGAAGAACAAGACTTCAAATAAGTAATTATCAATAAACATCTTTAGAGAAATTTTTAAAAGGAAACTTTGTAATTATGAAGCAAGAAAAGGAACTTAGAAGAAAAAGAAGCATTCATAGGACAAAAGAACATTTAAAAATTACTCATGAAAAAACTCAATAGAAGTTTGAAAGATATATTTGGATGCCTACTGGATGCAGAAACCTCTCAGAAAACAAGGCAGAATAAAAAGGAAATGAATAACAGGAAGATAAATTCAAAATATTAGAAAAACAATCCAGAAATTATAATAGGTACCTAAAATGTACGTCATAATGATTGAGAAAAGAATCATCAACAAAATTATTGAAATCCTCAGATATGCAGGACAGGAGTGTCCAGAATAAAAGAGCTATGAAAATAGATTCATGACAAAGTGTATCATTAGAAAATATCGGAATATTGAGAACAAAGAAAAAAAGCCTAGAACTGGAAAGAAAACCTCACAAAGATCACTTTTTAAAAAACCAGGAGTCAATCAGAATGGCTTGAGACTTCTCTACACCAAACAAACAAACAAAGGAATAGATTTAAATTTTTTACGGAAAAAATATTTTTTATCTGGAATTCTATTCGAATCTAAATTAGTAATCAAATGACAGGTATAATAAATACTTTTCATGAGATGTAATATCTCCAAAAATTTACCTAGCACGCTAAGTTGTTATCAAGATGCTATGGCAGTATGTGCCATACTCAAAGGGGAGAGTAGACTAAGGAGGAGAGCAGAGTTCCAGTGACTGGGAGATTCCAAGGAAAGCATCAGTATGGTGGTGGAAGAAAAAGCCTGGATGACAGCTTTGTACCCAAATCAGAGGCATTCAGTCCGTTTAAAAACTAGTCAGAGCTTTCAGGAGCAATTTCTCCAAGAAGATGACTTTGACACAATACTTAATATGTCAGTGTCCTAAAATATTTTGGGATAAAATGGTGATAACTTTATAGAAAAAACTACCCAATAAAATAACAACAATAAGGTAATAATTATTCATTCCAGAAGAAGATTTAGTGGAAAATAAAAATAATCAATTTATGATATGGCTTAGTGGTGAATAGCATCTAAATTTTAAATGTAATATAGACACTATCTATTAAATTTACCCACATCACAACACTATTTTGTTGTAAAGTTGGGAGGAGAGGGAAGAGAGCGATGCAAAAAGTGGAAATGGTGTAGGGATGGAGGAGAAGTCAATCAAAACAAGTATTCTTCCACTGTAGGAAATAATGACTAGTCCTTAAAAGTGAAAATCAAGAAGTAACAATAATAGCATGTTATTTGGAGATATTGAGGTAAATAGGAAAAGAGTCAGATAAAAAAAGTTAGTGAGTTTATTTGGGTGGGAGAAAGACAGGAAGACAGTGGAATGCCACTTTTTGGCAACAATCATAGAGAACAACTGTGAATCTTTATAGCAGTAAAATATTGAGTAAAATAAAAACTTAAAGCAAACAAACGAAGACTAATGTGGTGTCAATCTGCTTTTCCAAGTAATCTCTCAAAACCTTAACTCCTTATTCCTACAAGTGATCGCAAGAGTCCAGTTGCCATGGTGTCAAGGTTATCTGACAGTTGTTTTGATTTAATGGCACTCTGGTGTTCTGCCATCTTGGTTAATTTTGATTTGCCACGGACATGAACTCCTGCCTCACTTGCCTTATTTTCCTGACTGTATGTTTATTTTTGTTTTGTGTATGTTATAAAAACACCACTTACCTTACAGGTGTACATTGTCATTTCTTCTCTTCACATGGCAGCCTCAGCCCTTGTGGGCGTTGAGAAGAAAGAGACTGCTACTGTGTCCTGAACATGAGCAGAAGGATAAAAGCACAAAGTCAAAGAAATCCTATATTAGAACCTGGGAACACACCCATTTTACTTCAGCCCACTTGACAAGTTATGGGCACTATTTAATTATCTGATCTGAAGTGCTGAAGGATAGATTTGACCTTGACAGAGCTTTCCTAGAATGTAGATATAGGTGCATTATAACTGGTAGTGGAAGGCCCCCTTCCACTTTCCGGTGAGTGTCAGTATTTTCTCCTCGTCCTATAGCTGGAGCACAACAGAATCCGTATCTTGATTAGAAGACAGTAATAATGTTCTCAGCAGTTCTTTTGTTTCCAATTTTTCCAGTATTAAATCCAGTTTCCCTTCTGCCACCAGAGAGAGATGTCTGAAACACTAATATGATTATGTTGCTCCTTAGTATTTAAATCCTTCCTTCAGAGGCTACCCACTTTTCTCAAAACAAAGTCTAAAATCTTTTAACAAGTATATTCTGTATTTTCTGATTTCTTTGGACATCTCAGCCTTATGTCTTCCTACCTCACCCACATTCTTGATCCTCTAACCATACCGAATTACTTGCTCTCTTCCAGGCCTGCTGTTTCCCATTCTTCTGTGTCACTGCACACACTGTATGCCTGTCAGAGTTCCAGTGCACCTATGACCAAACTTTTATGGAACGTTTATCCAAGAACACCAAAGAGGAAATGCTATGGGCAGGAAACTACACTTTATAATGTAAACATAGCCCAAGAGACAAAAGATGGGTTTAGGGGTCTGCAAGCATTGTGTTTGATCTGGGATATGGCTTTTACGAGATGTCCAAGTTAATTTGCAGGTTCTTCTCTTCAGTCCACATGGTCCTTTGGTGTCCCGAGATAATAAAAAGGCAAAGATCAATGTGACTGCAGAATAGGAAGTCTGGCTGAAGAAAATGGTTTCTAGACATGCCCAATCACATGAAAGATGTTGGTGAGTCCAAAAGTCCCCAGAATTCTCACCAACTCATCACTTTTTGAGAGAAGCAGATGAAAGAGTATTTGCTGGAGGGGGAATGGGGCAGAGATGGAGAGTAGAGAAAAATGCTAGAGAGAGCAACACAGGAGGTAAAAACGAGGGTGATCTTTCTCACTTTAAAAGATAGGTCCAAACTGACTAGATAAAACAAGGCCATCAGATGACTATCTTTCCAATGAAACTGGACACCTTCCCTACTAGTAGAATAATTGGAGAGCAGAGTCTGGTTCTTTCAGCAAAGTTATAAACATAGTTATAGTTGAATTTGTCTTCTCTTTCTTCACCTGTAACACAGTACACCAAACACAACAGTCCTCAATTATTTTTGAGAGGGGAAAACAGACAAGTGTGAGATAAAGCAAAAGGGAATTAGGAGAATTCCCTTAGAATTTCTCAAAGTTAGTAGAGTCAGAACAAAGCCACTCATAATAAATTTAGGTAAGAAGAAAGGAAGGGAAATCACAACACATGTCAAATAGACAAGTAAAAAGGACACTACAATAGGAAAAAAGAGAATTATAGCATCCAGAGCCATAGAAATATATATATACTGGCTGTATAGAAATACATAGCCAAAGAAAACTTCATTTATAATAAGACAAAATCCAAGAGATAGAAATAAAATATTCATTTGTGCTTTTTATCCAAAATAATTTACTACTATTGCATTAACAACATTTAGACAGAAAATCAATAAGGAAACTGAGAACTTCAACACTACAAAAAAATAAAAAAACAAAAAAACAAAAAGCTAGACCTAACAGACATATACAGAACACTCCACACAACAACAGCAGAATACACATTCTTCTCAAGTACACACAAAATATTCCCCAGGATAGACCATATGTTAGACCATAAAACCATTCTCAATCAATTTTAAAAATATCAAAATTAGAAAAAATATCCTTTTACACCACAATAGAATGAAACTAGAAACCAAAAACAGAAGGGAAACTTGGGAATTCATAAATATGTGGAAATTAAACAACCAATGGTCGAAGAAGAAATCACATGGGGAATTAAAAATACTTAGATATAAATCAAAACAAAACTACAATATTCCAAAACTTATGAGACGAAGTGGAGGCAGGCTCAAAGGGGAATTTATAGCTATAAATGCTTACATTATAAAAGAAAAGAGATCTCAAACCAATAACCTAACTTTACACATTGAGAAACTGGAAAAAGCAGAGCAAACTAAGCCCAAAGGTAGCAGAAAGGAGAAATAATAAAAATTAGAGGAGAGATAAATAAAATAGAGAATAGAAAAACAATAGCATCATTAAAACCAAAAGATAGTTCTTTGAAAAGATCAACAAAATTGACAAACTTTTAGCTGGACATACAAAGAAAAGTAGAGAGAAGCAACAAATATCTGAAATTAGATATAAAAGTGGGCACATTTCTACCAACCTCACAGAAATAAAAAAGATTATAAAAGAACATTTTGAACAATTGTACACCAATAAATTAGATAACCCAGATGAACAGGAAAAATTCCCTGAAACAAGAAAGTTGCCTAAACTGACTCAAAATGAAATAGAAAATCTCAACAGACCTATAAGTAAAGATATTGAATCAGTAATGAAAAACCCTCCAGCAAAGAATAGACCAGAACCAGATGCCTTCACTGTCGAATTCTATCAAACATTTAAAGAAGAATTAACACTGATCTTTTTTAAACAGTTCCAAAAAATAGAGGAGCAAACAATTTCTAATGCATTCTATGAGGCCATCATCACCCTGGTACCAAAGCCAGATAAACACAATACAAGAAAAGAAAATTACAGACTAGTATGTTTTATGAATACTGATGAAAAATTTTTAACACAATACTAACAAACTAAATCCAACAGCATCTTAAAAGGATAAGACACAATCTGGCAAAATTCACAAAAGAAAAAATAGATCATCTGAATGAGCCTGTGTGTTTTATAAATTGAATCAACAATTATAACCTTCCAAAACAGAAAGCTCCAGGAGCAATGGGTTCACTGATGAATTCTACCAAACACTTAAGGAAAAAATTGTACTAATTCTCTACAAGCTCAGAAGATATACATAGAAGGTAAACTTCTAATTCATGCTGAGGCCAGTATTACTCTAATACCAAAGACATTATGAGAAAGAAAATTGCAGACCAATAATGAGCATAGATGGAAAAAATCCTCAACAGAATATTAGAAAATCAAATTCAACAATATATATAAAAAGTTATGAATTATAATCAAGTGGGATTTATTCCAGGTGTGCAAAGTGGCTTCAACATTCAAAAATCAATCTGAAATTCATCACGTCAACAGGCTAAAGAAGAAACAATACATGATCATGTCGATAGATGTAGAAAAATCATTTGTGAAAATTCAATACTTATTCAAGATAAAAACTGACAGGAAACTAGGAATAGAGGGGGACTTCCTCAAGAACATTAAGGAACGTTAAAAACATCAACAAAAAGACTACAGATAACCATGTATTTAATAATGAGAAAATATAAGCTTTCTCATTAAGTTCAGGAACAATGAAATGATGTCCCCTCTCACCACTCCTTTTCAACATCATACTGGAAGTCCTAAGTAAAGCAACAAAATGAAAAAAAGGAAATAATAGTATCCACATTGGAAAGAAAGAAATAAAACTGTCTTCATTTGCAGACGATTTGTCTGTCTACATAGAACAACAGCAACAGCAAAAACTCCTGGAACTAATGAGCAGTTATAGCAAAGATGCAGAGAACAGGTTTATATACAAAAGTCAATCTGTTCTATACACAAACAGTGAACAATTGGAATTTGAAATTTAAAACAAGATTCCATTTATATTAACATCCCCTAAAATGAAATACTTAGGTATAAATCTAAAAAAATATGTAAAAGATCCATATGGGAAAAAATTGTAAACCTATAATGAAAAAAAAAAATAAAGGGAAATTTAAAAACTAGAAAGAAATTCTAGGTTCATGAATAAGAAAACTTAATATTGTCAAAATGTCAGTTCTTGCCAACATGATCCATAGATTCAGTGCAATCCCAAACAAAATCTTAACAAGTTATTTTGTGGCTATCAACAAAATGATTCTAAAGTTTATATGGAGATGCAAAAGACCCAGTAGCCAACCAAATATTGAAGGAGAAAGTTGGAAGACTGACACTACCTGACTTTAAGACTCATTATAAAGATACAGTAATCTAGACAGTGTGGTATTGAGGAAACAACAAACAAAAATATATCAATAGAACAGAATAGAGAACTCAGAAATACACCCACACAAATATAGTCAAAGGATCTTTGACAAGGGAGCAATGGCAATACAATGGAGAAAAGATAGTCTTCTCAGCAATTGGTGCTGGAACAACTGGGCCTGCACACGCAAAAAAATGAATTTAGTCACAGACCTTGCACCCCTCACAAAAATTAACTCAAAAAAGAGTCATAGATCTAAATGTAAAACATAAAACTGTAAAACTTCTAGCAGATAACATAGCAGAAAGTCTAGATGACCTTTGATTGGGTGATTATTTTTTAAATACAGCATCAAAGGCATGATTCATGAAAGAAATTGTTGGTGATTTGGACCTCATTAAAATTTAAAACTTCTGCTATGCAAATGATACTTTCAAAGGAATGAAAAGACATCCCACAGGCTGGGAGAAAATGTTTTCAACAGACATATCTGCTGAAGTACTTATATCCAATATATGCAAAGAACTTTTAAAACTCAACAATAAGAAAAAGAACAACCAGAATGAAAAATGAGCCAAAGATCTGAACAGGTACCTCAAAAAAGAAGATAAATAGAAGACAAAGAAACTTATGAAAAGATGCTTCACATATGTTATTACAGAAATGCAAATTAAAGCAACATTGTGATACCACTACACGCTTATTGGAATGGGAATAGTTTCCAACATTGACATCACCAAATGCTTGGGAGGATGTGGAGCAACAGAAACTCTCATTGATTTCTGGTGGTGGGGATGTAAAATGGTACAGCC